TGGTAGGCTGGATTGCTGCCAAGCCTTATCTGTGCTGTATTGCTGCCCAAGCTTGTCTATACTGGTTTGCTGCCAAGGACCTGTCTGTCTGTTAATTAAATGCCGTAACTTATCTTTGGCTCAGAGTGTGCGTTGGTGTGGGACGAGGGGGGTCAGAACAGAAACCATATAGGGTTGAAACAGCCATTTCATGCTTGTGGCCCCTGGGTTTCAGGGACTCCAGTTTAAATCAAAAATCTTTTAATTTTCTAGATATTAAGGCTGATTGGTTTGGCACAGTCAAGAGAAAACTAATAGGGGATCTTTTAGGCTCAAATTCTGCTCCTTTAGTTCAACTCTTAGTCAAGTTGCTTGAATATTGTTTTGGTCATTAATTTTCAAGGTCATGTGGAGAAATGAGACATACCTGTTCCTGGCCCAAGATTATCACCCCATGAGGTTTGATTGAATGCCAAGATGCTAGGTTGTCACGGGCGCCACGCTCCACTCCATCTTGATACGCGGACCATATGCCATCCCGGGTGATCCATGTAATGCAAATATGGTGCCATTTCCCATCCTTTAAAGTCATGGGCAGATGAGCCACCTTTCCAACAAAATAGAACAGAGAGTGACTGTCAGGTTCCGAAGGGATAATGAAACCAGCCAAACACAGAAACGGTTTGAAATGCAGTCTATATTCTTCCTTTGGCACAAACTGACCAACAAAGCACTAAGGCAATGAATAAATTGTCAGAGCTGCTACCCTGTGCTTCCTATCACCTTTTATAGCTACATTGGTAATTAAAATAAGCCGCACCCCGCATGTACGCACACCCATCCCCTTGTGACCCAGAGCGAAACCACCCGGCAATTAATCATGGATTGTTAGCCTGAATTTCTTCAGTTTGTGTAGGTGGGACAGTGAGTCTTGGCAGCTGGCCCAGTCTTCTCCCATGAATGGAAGCTTCAGGTCTTGGAGCTGACATGCGGCCCCCTACCATGGAGACAGCCTCTGGGGAGCTACGAAATACAGTTAGTTAGGAGATGAAGGATCCCTTTCCCCTGGTTTTGTGGGATATCTGTGGTTCCATAAAATAAGGTATTGAACCGTCCCCTGTGCCACCTGGAATCTAGTATATCTTGCACTATATAGTACTGTTCCCAATCTATAGTAACCGAGGCTGGCGGCCGTAGTGGGTCTCCTCTGATATCAGAGGCCTGGATTGATCGGAGAAGGCTGCAGTGGAAGACTGGATGTGTTTTCCCCAGTAGAGGGGGGAGTTTTAGCTGCACTGTGACCGGGTTAATAACTCGCACGATTGGGAAAGGCTCAATGAATTTGGGCACAAGTTTCTTACAGGGCAACGGCAGACTGAGATATTTAGTGGATAGGTATACCCTCTGGCCTACATGGAAAGGTCCTTGCGCCTTCCGCCTTTTATCGGCACTCTTTTTATATGTGGCAAAAAAGTGGCATAACATATCCCTCACCACTTTCCAAACTTTTTGCATCCGGGCTATCCACTCCTGCGAGTTCGTGTCATTGGGATGTACTTGAGGACACTCTGAAAATTGGGACGAACTCTTGCCTTGTGGCCACATGGAATGGGGTAAACCCCGTACTTTTGTGCACTGCATTGTTATATGCAACTTCTGCAAAGGGGAGGAATTCAGCCCAATCGGTCTGTTGGTACTGGACATAACATCTCAAGTAGCACTCCACCATCACGTTTGCTCTCTCCACTGCACCATTCGTCACTGGGTGGAAGGCTGTACTAAGTCCCTGTGAAGACCCCACCATTGCCACGAATCTACGCCAGAACCGGGCAGTGAGTTGCACTCCCCTGTCTGAAATTATCCTTTTGTGATGCCATGGAGTCTATAGAGATGGGTAATAAACATTTCGGCTAGCTTCCTAGCAGATGAAAGGCCAGTACATGCTATAAAATGAGCCTGCTTGGAGAACAGGTCTATTATCGTACAAATGACCTTGTTCCCTTAACTGTCTGGTAAATCTACAATGAAGTCCATGGCTATCTGTTCATATGGCCGGATTGGATCTGCCACCTTCTGTAAAAGTCCAGGAGGCCATCCAGGCCGGACCTTCATGGTGGTGCAAACAACACAACTCCTTATATATTCCTCTATGTCCCTCTTCATGTGGGGCCACCAGAACTGGCGGCCTGCATTTTACTAAATGCAGAGTCTTGAGGAATCCAAAATGTCCAGCCGAGCGAACGTCGTGGCAGTGCTGCAGCACGGCCACTCGTACCACACTTGGTACATATAACTTCGACCCCTTCCAGGCAAAGCCCTCCTGCTGTGTTAATAAAGTTTTATTTTCCTGATACCACTGGTCCATTGGGAGTGCTGCTTTGACTGCTCTGGAGATGTCCTTCCCCTGGGCATACAGGTTTGGTGCTGATGGGGCCTGTTGAGTGGCTAACACCCTAGGCTGTGAGGTCGGGATGATAGCCTGTATAGATCCTCCCTTTTATTATGATACTGTGGTTTGCGGGAGAGGACATCAGCTAAGAAGTTCTTGCCCCCTGGTATATATTTTAATTGGAAGTTGAATTGCCAAAAATACAAGGCCCATCTAACTTGCTTTGGCGACAATCTTTGCGGGGTCTGGAGGGCCTCCAAGTTCTTGTGGTCCATCCAGACCTCAAAGGGTATCCCTCTCCCTTCTAATAAATGCCACCACGTCAACAAGGCCCACTGGACCGCAAATGCCTCCTTCTCCCAAATGAGCCAGTTGCGTTCGGCCCCTGTCAACTTCCTCGAGGTGAGGGCACAGGGCTGTAGAACTCCTTCATTGTTCTTTTGTAAGAGGACTGCAGCCATCACCACATCACTGGCATCTGCCTGAACCACAAATGGCTTAGTGGACTCTGGATGTTTCAATACCGGTTCTTGTGCAAACAAGGACTTCAGACGCTCAAACGCTTGCTGACACGCTGTTGTCCACACAACTGGGCTTCTCGGTCAAGGATTTGACTTGAGATGTTTTGTGCGTAAGAGATTGGTTAGTGGAAGGGCCACTTGGGCAAAGGATGGGATGAACTGGCGATAGAAATTGCCAAACCCTAAAAAACTGCTTGCGGGTTTTAGGAGCCTGCCAGTCCAACACCGCCTTTACCTTTGTGGGGTCCATCTCCACCTCTTTAGGTGAAATATGGAACCCAAGGTAATCCAATTGTGTCCTGAGGACTTCACATTTAGACAATTTAATGTATAAATGTGCGTCCAGCTGTTTAAGCACTTGACGTACAAGGGTTACATGGTCCTCCATGGTCTTAGTATATATAAGGATATTGTCTAAATAGACGAGTACACCTTGATATAGATGCTAATGCAGCACCTCATTAATTAGCTGCATGAACACCGCTGGGGCTCCTTACAGTCCGAAGGACATAACCCGGAACTGATAACTGCCCAGAGGACAATTGAAGGCTGTTTTCCATTCGTCATCAGTCTGAATACGTACCCTATAGTACGCCTCCCTGAGATCTAATTTTGTAAATATACATCCCTCCGCTAACCTAGCCAGCATGTCCTTCATTAAAGAAATAGGGTATAGATGTTCCACACAGACGGCATTAAGGCCCTGGAAGTTGACACAGAGGTGTAAGTGCCATCCTTTTTCTCCCGGAACAGAACAGGGGCAGCTACCCTTGATCTAGCTGGTTGAATGAAGTCCCTTTTTAAGTTCTTTTCTATATATGCCCTCATCTCTGTTAGCTCCTGCAGAGTCATAGAATACTTCCAGGGCTTTGGCAGTTTAGTCCCGGGGAGCAGTTCCACGGCACACTCTGTGGGGCGGTGAGGGGGCAAAGTATCACATTCCTGTTTGCTGCATACATCTCGTAAGTCTGCATATACTTGAGGTATCACTCCTCCCCCGCCGTATGTACCAATGGCACTGTACCTTGCATCTCACTGGGCCCTGGCCCGTGGTTTGCACCTCATGAGGAGGGGGGTCAGGACCGAGGCCTATTCTGAGATGCCTACTACCACCATCCCACCATATTGTGGGCCCCATTTGTCCAACCATGCCAGGCCTAGTACAATCTCCTCCGTAATGTTGGGAACCACTACAAACCACAAGAGCTCCCAATAGGGCCCTATATGCAATACCACCTGATCAGTTACATGATTGTTAGCATGAATTTCTTCAGTTTGTGTAGGTGGGATGGTGAGTCTTGGCAGATGGCCCAGTCTTCTCCCCTGAATGGCAGCTTCAGGCCTTGGAGCTGACAGTGCCTTAACAGCCTAGTGCAAATAGATGTTTTTGTAGATGCCTTTTTGTCCTTTGCTAAAATTCCCATACCCATCACTATCACAGTTGGTTTCCCAATCATCTTTATAGTCTAGAACAGTGGTTCCCAACATGGGGCCCAACACCCCACAGGGGGGAAATTTGATTTTTAATGGTGGCAATTTGAACCTTGTTTAAACCAAGTTAATGGCCTTTTAGGCTTCCTCCGCGTGAGTAGAGCTCCCTTTTGAGGTAAAGTAAGAATTATATGTCATGGGAGGCAGGGAGGGGCATCAGGATTTTAGAGATGCTGAGGTGGGGCATGACCAAAAAAGGGTTGGGAACCACTGATCTAGAAGTGCAGTCACTATGCAGCATAGCAAACAGATAAAACTGAATGGAATAGATACAGGGGTGTCAAACTTGATTTCATTGAGGGCCGCATCAGGGTTGTGTTTGACCTTGGGGGGCATGGTCAGAGTGGGCATGGCCATCAATGTCACTCATTGAGGTTCCATATTTGGCTACGATGGCCTCCTGCAGCCCTCTGCCAGCGAAAACGGAGCCCAGGAAGGCCCCATGTGTTCCTCCTGAGCTCTGTTTTCAGTGGCAGAGGCACTGCGGGTGAGTCCTTTGCTGTTTCCAGGGTGGGCCAGATCTAAGCACCCAGCGGGCTGGATCCGGCCCCCGGGCCTTGAGTTTGACACCCCTGAAATAGAGTAATCTTTCTGGTTATTTTTCCAAAGAAGAATCTGATTGCAAAGGAGTCCCACAGCTGGATTGTCACTACCTAAAGAAGCCCATCATGAGTACTTGGCAACATGGTATCTCAACATGGTGGGTCATATAACAGACTTCTCAATTAAAATTGTAAAATTTAGGAAAAGATAGCTACCCTTTGAATAGCCTGAATCCAAACAATTTTCTTTTGTAGATTAAAATCACCAGCTTCAATTGTGTATAGGAGTCGATTGGAAGTCAAGAAAATATATCCAATCTACACAAATGGACCACAACAAAAATCTGTTGCTTTTGATTCTATCTGTACTTTCTGAACATTTTTCAAAGACTGTTCCATGCAGACAGCATTATGGGCATCTAAAAGAAAAGTAACTAAAGTTGGGCAAAGCCATTCCTGCTACTTCAGCACTGTGGCCCTTGATTTTCCAGGACCAGAGCACAGTCACTTTCAGACCCTTTGAAGGGTGGGGGGGAGAGGAGCTGGATTTTTGTGGCTGGCATTGTATTTTCACTTGACAGCCCTCTAATGGCATCAGAGGTATATTGCTGGCATGCAGACATCACTGGAGGGGTGGGGAATCAATATTTTCCCCCTCCCTTTCTTTTGGAGGCAATGTAAATAGGTAAAACAGGTACATTAAATCTATTTGTTTTTCATATTGTTTATAGAAAAATAAGTAAAACAATCACACCACTGAAAATCAGCTGTTTTTCACTGACATTGGGAGCTGCCATTTTACTGGTAGTGGCAGTTCATGTCTTAGCAATTCATAAAAAGTAAATATGTGCCACATATGTCTGGATGGGGAGGTCATAAAAGTCAAGATGACTTTTGCAGCGCAACCCTTTCAGGCTACCATGGTACTCCAGCCTAGGGAAATCACACACTGTTACTACAGCTAATGCCACTTTTAGAACAAGGCAGTGCCTGTGCCATTCAATTTATTCTCTGCTGTAAGCTCCCTTTATCTTACCTTGTCATTAATTATAAGCTCCATAGGATTGTTTCCCCATACTATCAGTACAAGCTCATTGGCTTGTCCAGGAGCGGAGTAGGAGAAAGGGGTGCCCACTTCTGCTGAATTCTTAGCTTTTAGCCACATGCTGATGGTGAAGGCATATAGTTCAGGCAAGCTTTTCTTCATCCGAGCATACATGTAGTTGTTTCGTACAGGGATGGAGACTTTGAAGGTTTCTGCAGGGTTGAAGACAGTTGTTTCTATGGGCACAGGAGATAAAGAAGAGTCAAAAGAGTTATGAAAGACTAGCAAAAATAGAGAAATAATCCTGACATATGATCAGATCGTCGTTATCTGAAAGAGCTGCTGAAATGGGTGTCAGATTTTATAAATAGTCAGTACATTAGTCACATTCTATCAGAATTTGAGATCATTTGACAAGGTTAATTGGTCATAGATTTAAGAAATATCACCTAGCACATAAGTAATTCACGGGATCTACAGCCACAAACGGGGAAAAGATGATCACTAGAATAGCTGGCTGTAAGAGAGGAGTCATCTAAGTTACAAAGGCTAGTTGTGTCAATCAATGGTTGCTAGTTATTTTACAGTGGCTGTATGAAGCCTTTCACTGGGGCATATGCTATCAGGTAATATTTGCTGAGGAACAAGAGTAGAAGAGACTTGTTGTGTAACAAATGAGTAGCACTAGATCAGAAAGTACTTCAAGATAAACATTTGATTGGCACAACATTTTGATGCATTCTTTTCTAATTTGTAAACCTTTATTAAAAGGAAATAAATATGACCCATACCCAGAGTTATATAAACATGTACTAAAATTGAATGTATGAAAGTTCCGGATTTAACCCCATATTCTGGGCTCCTCGTGGTCACACTAACCATGCTCAAGCTCAACGACACGGTTATGGAGAGCATCCAGCTCCTTTTCAACGTTTTGTTGCTGTTGGTTGTGGCTGCTGGTGATGGAGGTGCGTTCTTTCTCCAGGGCCAAAAGCTTAGAGAGGATTTGTCCTTCCAGTTCCTCCATCTTAGTGTGGATGGGCTCTTGGGCTGGCACAGGGGCAGAAGTAGAAGAACCATTTGTTCGAGTGGGAACATCCTGCTGCACTCAGAGAAGAGATTAAAAAAAAAGATTAAAAATAACAGAAAAATAATTTCACACACAAAGAATCCAGAGATGCCTTTATTGATGTATTTATATTTCTACAGTACCCCAATATGGCTAGGATTGGGCTTTGGGAGAAAAGATCCTGCAGCCATTATGGTCCCAAGTGATTTCCAAAGGATCAGTGCAGGGGAGCAGTAACTGATATCATAGCATTAAAACACACACACAGACACATACTAGTGGTGGGTTTCAAAATTGTTTAGAACCTCTTCTGTAGGTGTGACCTACTTTGTGGGAGTGGCTTGCCAGCCATGTGATCGGGTAGGAGTGGCTTAGCAATCATGTGACTGGGTGGGCGTGGCCAACTTGCAAAATGTGGTGAAACTCACTTAACAACGCTCTTGCTTAGCAACCAAAATGTTGGCTCAGAAACTGGCATTTGAAGCACGCAAGTCTTAAAGCTGTCAAGTTACAAAACCCTTGTACTCCTACTAACCCTTTAGAAAAAAC